TTTAAGATTTTATTGGGGAATTGGGGGAGGGGAACAGACAAGTTGCTGTCCTTTCGTTCTTCAGTCTAGTTGTAGAGGACGTCGCTTCACTGGCCCATGTTGGTATTGTGATCATTGCACACTTCCCGGGTGAAGCAGATCGGTTGCCGGCCACTGGACGCCTGCTCACGGCGTCTCTTGGCAGCTCACTCTGGCTGCCGGCCGTTCACACTAGCTGCCGGCCACTCACAGCTGCTTTACAGCAGCCCACTGCATCTCCACTGCAGCCTACGCGGTCACCGGCGACTAACAGCAGTCCAGCTCCAGGTCAAGCTGTTGTTCACCATCTTAGTTGTAGAAGGCGCAGCGTTACTGGCTCTAATGTGGGATCTGAACAGGGGCCCTGCTGCTCAGAGCTGACATCCCAAGCCAGCTCTTAACCAACGCGCCACTCGGCCTGTGGGGTTGGGAGTTTTGTTGTTTTTTGCTGTTTTTGTTTGTTCTCTGATAATAGTCATTCTAATGGGTGTGAGGTGGTAGACCTACCTTTATGACAGAATTTCAAACATAGGAAGAGGAAGTGGAACCGTGTACCTACCCTCAGCCATGATCAACTGCCAGCCAATCTTGCTTCATCTCCACCCCTCCCGCCTTTGAATTATTTTTTTTCCCAACATTTAATTATGAACATTTCAAATACAGGGAAGGTTTGAAGGTAAAAACTTGGTGTTTAGTTCCTGCGATTACCGCTTTGCTATGTTTGTGATGTATTTGAAAATCTATCCTGCAACCAGCAGTGTGTTTGTGCACGCATGTGTTGCCCCATTTAAAAATTCCATACATTTGAGTGGGGAAAAATTAACAAAAAAGGACTCAACTGGAAACAAACATTGGTGGGGTATGTGCAGCCACTTTGGAAAACAGTTTGGCAGTTTCTCAAAAGGTTGAACTGCCATCTGACCCAACCACTCTATTCTGGGTATTATCCAACTGGAAACCATGCAAACCTGCACATGTGTGTTCACTAGAGCACGAATCAGTCTCCAGAACAACCATCCAAGCATCCCTTGACTGGTGAGTGGATGGAAAGGCTAATATTTGTATGATGGAATATTATGGGAACACTACAAGGAGCCCACCTCTAGTGTCACAGGAACAAGGGCATCTCAAGTGACCTATGCTGAGTAGTATCTGGACAAGACCAACTGATAGGGACAAAACTTGACCCCTGCTTTGGAAGGGCTGATGTGGGTGTGGGTGGAAAGGGGTGGAGACAGGGTGATGGAAATAATTTATGGTGATTACCCTCTATATTTTTGTTAAAATTTGTAGAACTTCACCTAAAGTATATCTGTCCTGAATTAAGTCTCAGTAACATGTTAGTCTCCTGGGGCAACTGGAGCAAATAATAGCACACTGGGTGGCTTAGAACAATAGGAATTGATCCTTGCCCATTCTGGAGGCCAGATATCCAAGATCCAAGTTGTCAAAGGGCCATGGGGCAGGGCCTTCCCGCCTCTCTTAGCTCCTGGGAGATCCAGTTTCCCTGAGCTTGTGGCTGCCTCCCCCTCCCCCCATCTGCCTCCCTTATTGTGGCTTGTCACATCTCCAGTGTGTTGTGTTTTTTTTTTAAAGATTGTGTTGGGGAATTGGAGGGAACAGTNCTCTTGAGCGAGCTCTTAACCAACTGAGCCACTCAGCCGGCCCAAATACAGAGCTCATGCTCTTAAGCCAACTCTTAACCAACTGAGTCACTCGGCCAGCCCCTTTAACCATTTCTAAGTGTACAGCTCAGTGGCATTAAGTCCATTCATTGTGCAGCCATCACCACCACCATGTTCAGAAAGAACTTTCTTATCTTCCCAAACTGAAACTCTGTTCCCATTAAACACTCACTCCCCTCCCCTCCCCAAGGCCCTGGCTCCTACCATCTGCTCTCTGTCTCTATGAATCTGACTCCTCTGGAGACCTCCTGTGCAATCACAGTCTTTGTCCTTCTGTGTCTGGCTTATTTCACTGAGCATAATGTCCTCCAGATTTATCCATGTTATAGCAGGCGTCAGAATGTCGTCCATTTTTAAGGCTGAATACTATTCCACTGTATTAATAGACCACGTTATGCTTATCCATTCATCTGTCTACGGACACTTGGTTTGCTTCCATCTCTTGGCCATGTGAATCCTGCTGCTGTGGACATGTGTGTGCAAATCTAGTGAAGTCACTGCTTTCAATCTTTGGGGAACACATTCAGGAGTGGGACTGCTGGGTCACATGGTACCATATATACCTTAATGTACCAGAATCACCTTCAGATGGACACTAACTTCATCCCAGTAAATATAGAAACAGGACTCCTATATAGCTCTAGTCCAGCAGTTCTCAACCTTCCTAATGCCGCAACCCCTTAATACAGTTCCTCATGTTGTGGTGACCCCCCAATCATAAAATTATTTTCGTTGCTACCCTATAACTGTAATTTTGCTACTGTTATGAATCATAATGTAAGTATCTTTTTGTTTTCTGATGGTCTTAGGTGACCCCTGTGAGAGGGTCGTTCGACCCCCAAAGGGGTCGCAACCCACAGGTTGAGAACAGCTGCTCTAGTCCCTTGTCCCTTTTTGGCTATTACTGTTATACTTATTATATCTATTTGTCTATTAAAGGCTGGCTGGTCTTTATCAGGGACGCCTTTTCTGACCATCTGTTAGAAGCCAGCATCCCACCCCTCCTGGCTTTTCCTCTTGTCTCCGATATCTGTATAACTTGCCCCTTACTGTCTGCCTCCCATTCTGGAATACCAGCTCCCTCGTGGAGCGCTGGACCCGAACCCCCAGATAGCACCTACTGCTAACAGTTGTTAGATGGGTTCCATTAACGGAGATTACAGAGCACGAATATGAGGCTCGAAAGGGGCACCGATGTTGAGGAAGGGGACACAAACCCTAGGCGGTCGGCTCCAACTTCGGGGCAGTCCAAGGCCCTAAGAAAAGCGGTTACATCTTCTTGTCCACCGCTTTTGTCCTCGCAGGCTGCGCTACGCCCTCCGGGCGGCAGACGGCGCGTTCCCTCGGTCGGGAAAGCAGAAGCGCATGCGCATGCACAGCCAAGGGGCGGGACACGTGGGCGAGCTCGCGATAACTACGCAATCGCAGAGTGGGTGGTCCTTTCTGAAGAACCCGCAAGATGGTAAGTGTTGCACCTTGGTGCTTTGTGCGACCCTATCCGGCGCCATCCGAGCTCCGGCCGCGCGATGGAGGCCTTGGTCAGGCCGCGGGGCAGGGGCAGCCGCCTCCAGGCCTCCGGGGCCGTAGAAAACGGCGCGGGGCGGGCCTGGTGGGTGTCGGAACGACCCGGGGCGGAGAAGGCCTGTACTGTTCGCATGTCCCAGGCGACCTCCCCTAGCCCGGATCCGCGCGTGTCTCCCTTGGACGGGCCTGAGGTGGCGTGTCCCCGCGGGCTTTCGTACACGGGAGCGTCGCCCGTTTCTCGACGGGAACCTCCGGTCTGGTGATTACACCGCGGACGCGGGGTAAGAACTGGTCTCAGGCTCCCTTTCACCCCATCCCGGGCTCGCGCAGGCGGAAGTGGAGCAGAAGAAGAAGCGGACCTTTCGCAAGTTCACCTACCGCGGCGTGGACCTCGACCAGCTGCTGGACATGTCCTAGTAAGGAGCAGCCGGGCCCCGGGCAGGGTGGCGTCGGGAGGGAGACCCGAAGGCTGGGGGCTGCAGCCTAACTGGCCCACGCGGCCTTAGACCGAGTGCAGACAAATGACGGGGCTCCGTGCAGATAAAACTTAATTTGGAGACGCTGAGGGTTGACTTTAGTATAGTTTCACGTGTCCTGTTTGACATCTCTTTATCCAGTTGAAAACGTGTCTGTAGCTCGTGAGCCTTACAAGGTCGGGTTGGGCCGCGGGCTGGGGTTTGTTGGCTCGAGGTCTAAGATTTGTCCGGAGCTAGAAACTTCTAAGCAGGTGGTGGTGGTCTGACTTGGCCTTTTTTTTTTTTTTAATTTAGCTTAGGATTCTGCCACCTGTTGGCAGCTCACTTTGGGCCAGGCATTGAACTGCTGTTGCTCAGAGCTCGCACACTTGAGCGAGCTCTTAATCAACTGAGCCACTCGGCCAGCCCTGACTTGTGCTTCTTAAAACTGCCCTCAAGCAGGGTGGGTGCGGATTGGGCCCCTAGATAGGGAGGGAGACTTGCTGACAACTAGGGACCATATCTCCTGTAGGTGTGCTTGGGTCTAGGCCTTCCTGGGGACACAACACAGGCTTCTCAGGGTCCGCCCCTCTCCTGGGTTCTTGAGGCCTTAGGAGCACAGTGGTTTGCTCACGTTTCCCAGCGGGGCCACTTAACCTGAGCTGCCTGTCCTTCTGCCTCGGTTTCCTCATTTGTAGACAGTGACGTGGATATTGTTGGATTTGTGGGGCTTATCTTGAATATTTAGCTTGTCCATTCCTTTGGAGGGGACTATGCGATGCAGAAGTGTTAGTGGGTGATTGTTAGGGTTCTGCCATGCCTAGGCCACCCTTACCATCCCACCTGTCCTCAGTGAGCAACTGATGCAGCTGTACAGTGCCCGGCAGCGGCGGCGGTTAAACAGGGGCCTGCGGAGGAAGCAGCACTCGCTGCTGAAGCGCCTGCGAAAGGCCAAGAAGGAGGCCCCGCCCATGGAGAAGCCCGAGGTGGTGAAGACGCACCTGCGGGACATGATCATCCTTCCCGAGATGGTGGGTAGCATGGTGGGTGTCTACAACGGCAAGACCTTCAATCAGGTGGAGATCAAGGTGTGTTGGGTGTTACTGCCTGGGTGGGTCAGGACCTGTCCATTCTCCATCACCTAATGCCAATCACCTCTTTGCCTCCTGCAGCCTGAGATGATCGGCCACTACCTGGGCGAGTTCTCCATAACCTACAAGCCTGTGAAGCACGGCCGACCTGGTATCGGGGCCACCCACTCCTCCCGTTTCATTCCTCTCAAGTAGCCTGCCCGGCAATAAAGGCACCGACTCCTCTAATCCGAGTTCGACCCATTCTTCTAAGGTCCAGGGCTCTGGGACCGGTATCGACCCCCCAACCACCATCAGGAAGGAAGGGGGCTGGGCCTGGCCTGGAAACTCAGGTCAGGCATGACTTGTGCTGTGTGTCCCTTGGGTTTCACTATAGACACTGTGACAGTCGCACACTTGCCCGTGACTATTTGCAGGGAGGGTGGGTAGGTTGGGAGCTCTGAGTGACTTTAGTTCTGTGACAGGGTTCTATGCTGTCTTCTCTGTGCCCTTGCCCCTCCAAACCCTGACCAACAGGTGCAGTCAGCTTTTCCCAGGACAGATCAAAATTTCCTGTGAGGGGGGGGGTCACATGCCACCCCCATAGGGTGTGATGCTGAAGGGCCCTAATTCCTCACCCTAAAGCATCCTGATCAGATACCTATCCTTCATGAAGGGCAGATGTGCAGATGATGCAGGAGAGATGACAGGTTTCTGTCCAGGCAGCGGTGAGGCTCTAAGGTCTGCGTACGTGGGAGAAAATCAAGGCCATGCCTGGGTTTTGGCCTCAGCAAGTGGAAGGTTGGAGTCGCCACAGAGGACACTTTGTTATGAATCATGCTGCTTTGTACACATGTGTACATGTATCTCCAGAATCCCACCACTAGGTATATTCAGAATTGAAAGCAGGATCTGGGAGGTACCTGTACACACGTGTGCAAATCACACGTGGAATGTAATTCTACATTTAATTCTTCGAGGAGCCACTGGCCATGCATCAGTTTCCGTTTTCTCCATGTCCTTGTCAACACTTGTTAGTGTTTGTTTTTTGGTGTGGTTTTTTTTTTTTTTTT